CGGCCTGCGCCCTGTGTCGATGCGCTATAGATTTTTGAGGCCTTCGGTTCGCATCCTGTGATGGCGGAGGTTCTGGCCTGAGGGCTTTTTGACCGCCGGTTCACAGGAAAGGAAGGGCGTCAGCTCGCCAAGGCAGAAGTCACGGCGACCACACCCGTGTCGCGGCTCGCAGCGGGCATCCCGGATGTGAAACGTGCATGGAAGCATGCACTTCAGGCGAGGCAGTCTGCAGGCTCTATCGCAAGTCAGATTCCGCACTGCTTTGGCACCAAGGGCATGAGCACCTGGAGCACCGCATCTTCGTCCGGCCCTGAAGTGACTGAAGACTGGTCCTTTGATCCTCTTTGATCTTCAAAGTGCTGGCTTGGGTGACCTTTGTGGGAAAGGCTGGCTCCAGCGCGACCGCGGCACACAGGTTCGCTCTCAAAACTCCCGAGCTTTGCCGAGCCGCCGTGGCCGCTGCGAGGTCGCGTCTACCGCCGAGAAAACCTTCTGGCCGTGGAGGCCGCCACAGGCATTTTCGGTACCGGGGCGATGGTGCTCCGCGTGGAGGCGAAGATGCGCTTGGCCGGCCATCTGCGAGAACCGAGGCTTCGGTTAATGAGCAGAGATCCAGGGCGTTGCGGTTCCTTTCTTATTTTGCGCTTTTGGACAGCGAAAGGAAGAATGTAGAGCGCAGCATGCCATGCGCGCTTTTTGCCTTCAGTGCGTGCTGCTCCATCGCATCTAGATCTACTCGGTCCAGATCATTCAACATACCTACACAGCAGGCATAGCTGTCGTGCTTATAACCACATATACTCAAACCAGCCTGTATGCTTGCATGCATTTAACTCCAAGTGCCGATGCGTGCGTACATACACACACGCACAGATACATACATACATACATACATACATACATACATACATACATACATACATACATACATACATACATACGTACGTACATACATACATACATACAGACACACACATATATATATAGGCATGAAACACACACACACACACCTGTAAGTGAGCGCATGCCTATATGTGCAAATGCACACACCGACACAAAAACCCGCGATGATCGATACCAGTGCCATGGATATCATCATGCATCAGACGTGCTGTGCTGCACCGCGATTGATATGTGCCTTTTCCGGGTCGCATCTCTACATGTTACATGTGTGTACATTGCCTGCTGCGCCTCAAAACCTGCGACAGCCGACAGCCGTAAAACATCAGGCTCCGAAGCCCATTGTGGCCCTTTGGCTTGCTCGGAGTCTTGTTGCAAGCTGGAGGCCAGTCGGCGTACCTCGCCTTCTTCCAATGCCGAAGTGGTACTGGGACAACGAAGGCTGCGTGAGCGAGGCCGAGGGCAGGGGCACAATTGTTTTGTTTTCTTTTGAACCCTACTAGTTACTAGTTGTTTGTTGTCATGCGAGTAATCCTGATGCAAGCGATGCAAACGCCACTGATAATGCCGTAAATGATGGTAGTGATGATGGTGATGTGTAGAAGGAGAAAGTAGCGGAGACGACGATGGCGGGAATCATAAAGGCGATTACTGTGTTCATGACGGTGGTACTGGCTGGTGCATTCCTCCTGCTCCTCCTCCTCCTCCTCATCCTCATTTGCACCATCGCCATCGCCATAGCCGTCACCATCCCCATCATCACCACCACCATCGCCATCATCATGATTGATCGCAGAGGTTAAATGCGATATCGCCAGAAGACATGTCTGTATTTGCAAGTGAAGACCCCTTCTGCTTTTGCCCCGCCGCAAACTGGAGCACTTGGAACCCATGCCAGGACGAGACAGACGACGAAGCACGACTCCGGGCACTGGAGGTGCGCACATCTATACTTATATGATGTAGACGTCGAAGCAGAACGATAGATACACCAGTAGGGAGATAGGCAGATACTGCTACTTGCACCCATGCGTAGCACAGCCGGATTTTCCGTGTTGGTTGACATGGACGGAAGGCGAGGCTGGACCGTGAGAACGGGGCCGACGCGAAGAACTTTGAGACCTTCGGTGAGGCGGGGGTTTGGTAGGATGCGCCCTAAGATCGTCCCGAAGTTTCTTCTGACCTTGCCGAGGCTTGGGCGGTCGAGGCCTGGACCTTCGAGGATGCTCTGGCCGCAAACCAGAGGAGCAGATGGCAGCCTCTGAGTGCCAGTCTGAATGTGCCCTGGCTTAACTTGAGCTCGCGAGAGGATCGCTGCTCACCAGCGCGCAGGCCTGCGAAGCTTCCAGAGTAACGGCAAGGGGAGCCAAGCAGTGCAGGTTTCGGTTTCGTGAACTAGTAACTAGCAACACAGTTACTGGTCAGATGTCTCGCATGTGGGCCACGAACAGGGGTTTTGGAATAGGAGGGACCCAGCCGGACATGAGGAAGTTCTGGCCGGCGTCCTTCGGAGGCCTTGCCGGCCCACTGCCCGTGGCGGGCCCTGCTCGCGCGGCGCCGCCCTTGGCGCCATCCTCGGCGCCGCCCTCGGCGCCGCCCTCGGCGCCGCCCTCGCCGGCCTGCGTCCGGGAGGCGCCCGCATCCCTCAACAAAGATACCACATAAGCGTCTGTTCCTATCGGGAATCCGTCTATCTTTGTCCTCTAAGCCTCGCGGACATGTATCCGTCCCGTGGTGTCTTTGAGGAGGAAGGGCGGGGCGAAGCAGCAGCGCCGGCTCCTACAATGATCTTGCAGTAATGCCCAGGACGGCGTTGGCTCGCCTTGGGCTTTGTGATCATTTGACTTTGGCGGGTGGGGGTTCGTTTGAAAGGGTCGCCTTTTTTGGTCAGGACGGCGAATCACGTTATTGCGCTGAGTGGCTGCCATTCAGCACCGGGTAGGATTTGATCTACCAATCCTTGCGTTTCCCGGCTGTCGAGCGCTCTGCTTCGAACGCATGGTAAAGCCCGACTTGGGAACAGTGAATGCTGGAAGAGAAATGCGCTCGCAGCTTGGCCACTGCAAGGCTTGCTTTGCCGGATTTTAGACAGAATATCTCTTTACGTCTCACTCCGCCATCAAGGCCGTGCAAGGATCCCGCTTGCCGCAGATGTTAACGTGATGCCTGCCTTGCAGCGCGACAACGGTGGACCGGCAAGAAAAGGCGTCATATGCTGGGTAGTTTAGGATGCTGAAAGCATGATATCAACTTCGTTTCGCATTGCATTCAACGGGGAAACTTACTCCAGACCAGACTGACTATTGACTGACAGATTGACAGCTGTTTCTTGAATGGCCGATCTTAAGTAGTGGAGTGTTTTGCCTGGTTAGTTCCGTTAACGAACGAGACCAACAAGCGTCAACTTCTTAAACCAATGCAGGGCAAGAAAGTTTGAGGAAATCGCGGGTTCGTGATGCCGTTGGCTGTCCGGGAAGTAGGGGGATGAAAACCAGCACTTGTACCTTGGAAAGCAAAGTAAACAGCTGTAGAACTGTTTGTGGTTCTGCACCAGGTGCATGTTAGGATTGTCAGGTGTGCCAGGTGGCGATGGCGATGCCAAAAAGCGTAAGGCAAGCTTAAGCAAGGCATGTGCTGTCACGAACTGCTATTGTTGGTCGACAGGTACACGCAGCAGCAAAGATCTTTCTTTCGTTATTCCATTACCACCTCGGATCTCGATTCTCGAAACCGATTTCAAAATCCCTTGTGTTCTATTGTCGGCCGATGCTCAAGTTGAAAGAGAAGTTTTCAAGTTTCATTTTCGAGGTGTTCCTGCTTTTGGATGTGTGAGCTCGTTTCTGCAACACCTGGCTGCCGGCATGGCGCAGGCGGAAAAAGAGTCCGTTTTCCATATGAAGGTCTGGAGAGCTGTGAATGTTATGATGCGGCGGCTGTCCTTCAGAACCTCTCAGGACGGAAGCTGGCACCATCGCACCATGAACTCTAGGAGCCTTTGGCCTTTGCGTGCGTGTAGCCTTGTAGTCACAGGTTAGGTGATGTGCAGTAGCTAGACTCGGTTGGTTGCCGTCTGTGTCAGCTGCCATGGTCGATTCTGGCTGGGGCCATGCTGAAGATTCGGCTGACGGCTTGGAGGCCTGCAACGCTCAGCGTGTTTTGTGAAGTACTCGGCTGTTTCCGGTAGCAGGTCGCAGAGCCAGCTGTTCTAGTGGGAGGCATGAGCGTGGTGCGAATCGTGCTGCATGCGTCGGTTTGATGCATTTGTGGATGTAAAGGTTCGTCTGCTTCGGGCTACGCAGGATCGCCAGTGCAAGAGGTGCATGCTTTCGTCGTACATGTGGGAAACACGCAGCTAGTCAACTCGTCCAGGCACCGGCGCCAGTGCACCATCCCGAAGTGCCCGACTCCAAGTTAGCGGTTCGTGCGATGCGATGCGTTTCCAACATCCGTCGTCCTACGTCTCGAAACGACCGGGCAGGCACGCGGTTTCAGTCAGAGAGCTGGAACCGCAGTCCTACGAGGCTGCGTGGCCGGCATGGATGCTCTGGAGTCGAATGTAAGATCCAGCAGATATTTGAGATGTTTTATTTAATTGCCTGGACCATTCCTTTTTCGTCGGCTGCAATCCTCACCGCATCTCACCGCACTCCTCCGCCGCCTCCTCTGCCCGTCCCCACCTCCTGTATCAGCAATCCGGCAAGTATGCTCAAGAATCAAGAAGTAACTCTTGAAAGGCTGGCAGCAAGTCCGGAGATCGCGAGGGATTCGGCGGTTACGGCGGGTTCTCGGAGATGCCGGCCCATTCCGAGGTGCAAATGGGTGCAAAAGTATCCTTGAGCTTGGCAGCGTCTTGAGTGTGAAGAGCTTCCCGTTCAGGCCCATCAATGGTCCGGAAGGTTGGAGGTTCTACGGCCGCCTGAGGCCAATGTTGGCTTTTGTTGTCTGCGCTTGCGGCTTGTTCGCTTTCTTGTCACTTGACTCGCGCTGCATGCCGGCAGTCCACCTCCCATGAAGTAACTCAGAGACCACATAAGTTGACAAAGGTACAGCCCAGCCAGTAGAAGCATCGAGACTCCTATGGCGTGCTAGATGGCCAAGCGATGGCCTTGCACTGGCTGGCGCCGTTGCTGCGGCGCGGCCACGGCTTCCACCGACCTCTCCAACGTGGGCCTCGGAGCTTTGGGGCCTTTCGGGCTGGCCGGGCGCTTTCTGCCGCCCGGGATGCCTACACGGTCATGGGCCTGGACCGCCGCGCTTCGCAGCAGGAGGTCAAGGAGCGCTTCCGCGTCCTCGCGAAGCAGTATCACCCGGACCTGAACACCGGGGACCGCACGGCGTCTCTGAAGATGGCGGAGTTGACCAGCGCCTATGACACCTTGATGGATCCCAAGAAACGGGCCGCGCTTGACCAGGCCACGGCAGGCACCTCGGCGGGTGCTGGTCCGGGCTCCAGCTACACAGGTGGCTTCCCCTACGATGACAGCGACGGTTGGGTGTCTCCGTCCCAGATGTTCTCGGAGTTCTCGGATCTCTTCGGCCGCAACTCCCAGTTCCGCCCCAACATGGACGCCTCTGCGGCACAGCGGGGCGAGGCCAGGCCGGCTGGGCCATGCTAGGCCCGTACTCGGCCACTTCTTATGGACCCGCGCCGCTGTGAGGACGTCAGCACTGGCCTCGACGTCTCCTTTTTGGAGGTGTGGGAATCCGGAATCCGAAGGCCAGCGACTGGTGGGCTCGTCCGTCGCCAGGCCGCTCAGGGCTGCGAGAAGGTGGTCTCCCTGAGACTGAAGCAGGTCGGGTCCAGTGAAGATTTTTCTTCTTTCCTCCGCTCCAGACTACGGTTTTTTGCTCGAGGTGTGTCAGGACTGCCACGGGACAGGCGCGCGAGAGGGGACGACCTGGTCCAAGTGCCGCGTGCCGACCTGAGCTGTGGGGCTAGCGGCTAGAGTGTTGTGCAACGGCGGCGAAGTCCGGTCGTTTCGTCTTGAGGTCTGCCGAGGAACCGGGGTACTCCGACAAGAGAAGGGTATCTTCAGCATGGGCCTTCCATGCCAGAGGCGATGCCGGTCTTGTTGCCAAAGGCTCCAACTGTCTAGCTTTGGAATTCGTGCAGGTGTCGAGGGAGCGGCATGGAGCCGAACTCAGCGAGCGGGGCATGGATTGCCAAAAGACAGTGCTCTAGGGCTCGTTTCGAGCTTCAGGTCTTGGACCATCCTTGTCGCACATGCCGTGGCGAGAGCACGGTGATGATGACCCGCGACATTCGCATCAATGTCCCCGCAGGGGTTCCGGCTCTAAGCAGAGTGCCATCCAAGCGACTGCAAGAGCTAAGGGCAAGAGCTGGAAGAAGCATCGCCCTACCGGCTAAGCAGCTGAGGTTCGCAATCTCATGGAGCTTCGAGTTCCCGGTGCCTAGTCTGTTGGCTCAGTCCAGCTTCCTTCTCCCTCCTGTCCGGCTCCCATTTCAGGTGCCGGGCACGCTGGCAGCCGGGGCGGAAAGGCCCCTCGCGACCATTCGTGTCACAAGCGATCTAATCTCGTCCGACCACCACCCGGCGCAGGCGGGGCACCTCTTTGTGCAAGTGAAGGTACTGCCGCACGAGAGGCCTGGAGATCTATGTCCGAACGCAATGGACGACATGGCAAGTAGCAGCAAACAAGAACCCAGGACACAGGAGTCCCACCACAATTGACTAGCGAATAATAGCCAACCAGAGCTCATGATGCAGGAGTCCGGCCGCAACAGACATAACAAACAACAGCAAACAAGAACCCAGGACACAGGAGTCCGACCGCAACAGAC